CTGATAAAGACAAGAGGAGAAAGAGGAAGAGAAGTAATAGTCTCATTCAAATTAAGCCACTTCCAGATAAGGAGTTTGTGCCAGTTTGAAACCAGGTCCAGACCTTCATGATCCCATGACTTCACCAGTATATTTGAAATTTTTTCTTTATTCTCAAATTCCCTCCTAGACAAGTCTTTCAAGGATAATGTGGCTTGGTGACTCTGTAGCATCCCCTCATATGAACCATTTCATATGACAGACAATATGAAGTAAGGACATGAAAGGGGAAGAGGTGTTACAACCAGCTATCTTTTTTTCCCTTTTTGCATGGCATAAGAGTGAAGGACATTTTGTTTGTTGAAATGACTTGAGATGGGACAGTGATTTTTTTTGTTCCTTGTTCTCAGCATTGCAAGGTCAGCAAAAGTGAAGAGGATAACAAATCATCTTTAGCCTGATTTTGAAGGATAGTGAGGTAGAAATAGTAGAACTGTGGAGGTGCCTTTACACAGTGCCTTAGACCACAAAAAGTCCATACCTAACTACTGCAAGATAGTACTAACAACCAAATTAAATCTTTCAGCCACATCCTTTGAAGAAAGTAGTTTGTTTCTCTATTTTAAACAATTGCCTACCTTTTGTCCTCTATATCCTCTTGCTCCCTGAAATATAGAAGAAACTAGATGTTATATCAGAAGAAATTCAAAAGTCTTGAAACAGATTTCCAAATATAGAGTATTTTTCTGAACTAAAAATACTAGAAAACTAGAAATGAAGTCAACATGCAGGTAGCGACTAGCAGATTTCTTTATACCCCCATAGTAATACCTCAAAAACCCATTCCTAGCAATTGCTCACTCCACAATAGAAACTTAGCGGACTCTTTCCCATTTTTAATTGTTCAGAGAAGCACAGAAAGCAGCGCATTTTCTACCATGCATAAGGTCCCTATTAGCTTTTAATCTGAAGTTCTTATGTGCAAACATGCCCTCCCACAGAAGAGGAGCATTCATTGCATCATGTCAATGCATGATTCATTGCATCATGTCAAGCTCAGTCATTAAAACAGTAGCTGACCAATCATAATGCTGTTTTAGATAAGATGTTACTTTTGTTTTTTGTTTTAGTGGGTACTTACCTGCCACAAGATACATTTGATAGTTCTACGCTTTGTATAAGGTAATGTAAGAAGAATATTGATTTATTCTTATGCCAATCTCTACATAGATGGGAAAAGAAATGAGGACAGAAAGAGGGCTATAGCAGTATCCTCAGAAGCTGAAAATATTATGCCATTATATTCAAATGATGCAGAGAAGAACTTCATATCCATGAAGTGTGGCTGAAATCAGGAAAGCCTAAAATAAAAGGGCATCCAAATCTAAATTTGAAACTGGGTTTGTAGTACTATTGGCATAAGATAATCAATACAACATATACTCATTTTGTATTCTTAATTTGAGTGGTCTTGCATCACAACTTGCATTTCATTCAAAAAGGACATGGTTTTAAACAAATGGGCTGAGCAGAGCCTTTTATTATAAACTGGCATTCGTTAATGTTGAATCTAGATTAATCTGCAGAAGATGCTCAATGCTACTCCATTATAACATTGCAATTTTCTTTTCCTTATTCTAGCAAGTGTGAGTAGAATTAATAGACTAAGGATAGGCAAATCAATTTCACATTCTCTTTTTGGGGGGGCTGAATTTTTTTTTTTTTGCAATTTTCCATAATATAATGCATTTATTTATCTTATTGTCATATATATACACATATGACACTAAGATACATAAATGCATTATATTATGGAAAATTGCAAAAATAATTCATATATAGAAATTTCAAAATTTCTATATATAGGTATGCTTATGTGTGAGAGAGACAGAGAGAGCAATTTGCACTAAAGAATTTTAAATAAGTTTCTATTGTAATACTGGTGCAAAAGTGTAAAAGTTAATGCGTGTGTATTCAAATACACATAAAATGGATTTCTTTCCCTAAATAAGGCAAGGGTGTGTTACTTATCTGAAAGAAAATGAAAAAAATTATCCCCTGTAAATCAGCTATGGATTTTCTGCCATTTGTTAAGAATATGGAAATAGAGGAAGATGTTATAGAAAGTAAACAAACAGGCTGGAGATGAAACTAATTAAAACAAGTTGTTAAAACAGAGACAGGGAAAAGAAAAAAGCCTTGCTGTCACTTTAAGAGAGGCAAGGATGACCACTGTAGGCCTGCCTTCCCCTTGTCAAATCCTATGTGTATCTGCAATGGAAAACCTCCTCTATCCATGGAGGCTTTCTATACAAAGGAAGAGCTGAAAAACCAGGATCCTCAATCTTCACTGTCTCCATGGATAGGCCCTCCATTGCAGACACTCATCTTCAACACACCAATAGAAGAAAGAAGATAGGACATCTGCTGAACAGAATTAAATGTCATAAATATACTTACTGAAATGCTTCCTAGAAGTAAGAGACTCTGAACTCACTAGGGTTAGACTTACTAAAGAGTAAGCTTGCTCAGATGTCCTTCTGCTTGGGATCAAAGATAACAGGATCTCTTCCCAAGTTTCTACCCCAGTTTACAAGGAGCAACTTACGTAGCCAGGAATATGAATTGCTGACCTCAATGAGGCTTCCTACAGATTAAGCCTGCATAGGTTTATGTTTGCAGTACCCAGATTTCCAGTCTCTTTTTCTCTTCATGAACAGTTGTATATTTGTGGTTGTGCAAGAAAGTAATCTCTATGTAAAATAATGAATTGTGTATGCACAAGCAGGACTTAATTTTATAAATGGGAAGTCTTATCTTACAGGCAATTAATTTTAATCAGCAATCATTTCATGTGGTTAATAGTAGTTTAACTTTTTTTCTTGGCCCTGCCCCTTGTTCTGAGTGTGGCCCCGATGTGTTAATGTATGCAACTTATGCATACATACATGCACACACCTGTACAAGGGTCTTATATACCAAACACATTTGTTGGTCAAAAAATCTCCAGCTCTGGTTTGGTAGGAGCTAGCAACCCTAGCTGGCAAATTAGAGAAGTTCAGCCATGTGCAAACTTTGTATCTTGTATTCTTTTTGTTGCTGCTGCTGCTGTTTAATCTTCCTTTTCTGAGGGGAGATCATCTTTACATCAGGGACGTCTTCGTTTTGGTAAATACAACTATGATTTACTGATAAAAATGCACACATTTCAGCATGGGTGTCCTTGGGGTGTGGTCAAAAAGTTCAGGAGGCGGCCACAACAGTGCAATGGAAGCTCCGCTTGTTTTTTATGTGCATCACACACAAGCGAAGCTTCAATTACATCATTGTGATCACCTTCTGGATTTTTCTGATGATGCCCTGCAGATGCCTCTGCCCCCCGGATTCTTTAAGTGGGAGAGGACTACACAATCATTTTGCAAGAAGAAGCAAGCGTACATTGGAACTACACCAAGATGGTGAGAGACGAAATAATATGAAGTGCAATTTGACAAGAGTACTTAAGGCTATGGGTGATCCCTTTGGAAAAGGTTTCAAGACTTGCCTTGAGACCTCTAGCACCAGAGCATCCAGCTTCTCCTTGTGTTCCATTAGAACCCATTGGACCACGGCTTCCCTAGGAGAAAAAAAAGAGAAAAATTGGAAAACTTGTCTACTGAATATGACCAATGCCTTAGGTACCTTTGCCTTTTCTTTGAAGGATGTGTCTTTAATTTCTCTAATCAGAGTGGCTGAAATCTGTTGGATTGTCTCCTAGCTATATGCTATGAAATTCAGACCAACCTTCGCTGAATCAGGAGCTGTCAAACCTCACAATGATAACTAAGTAATGTAAGATTAACTCATGAGATTGGCAAACATTACCAAACACTAATTATCTAATACTATTGCTATATTTATATTTCAACTCATTCTTCAAATGTGAGCTTACTGCATATGCTTGCTAAGATGCACATACAGGCTCCTGTATGAACACATCCTGATGAATGCAGAAATGAAGCAATCTTTTTCAGAGGTACGGTTCACACACAGCAGATTGTTAACATTCCAGTCCTCTTCTCCATCACTTTACTTTTATATTATTTTCTCTTTATAATCAGCTTTCTTTGACCAGTGATTATAAACAGCCCACATTTCAAATATTGGTAAGCTTCATTGTATACCCACAAACCCTCTTCCTTATTTATTTATTTATTTATTTATTTATCAAATTTGTCACTGTCCATCTCATTGAAATATGATTGACACTATCATCTATCTCTATTATCTATCTCTATCATCTATCTATCTATCTATCTATCTATCTATCTATCTATCTATCTATCTATCTATCTATCATCTGTTTATCTATCATCTATCTTTATCATCTATATCTATCAATCATCTGTTTGTCTATCTATCATCTATCTCTATCATCTGTCTATCTGTCTGTCTGTCTATCAAAAGCATTTAGAATGTTATAAAAATGGCAGTTAATGCAGATGACCAGGGATAGTTGCAGGAAGCCTTATCTTAGGTGACCACAATGTATTCTTTCAATAGCACTGCTTGGTGCGTTACTTACAATTCCTCCTTCTTCACCTGGGTACCCTGGATACCCATCAAAGCCTGTCTTTCCCTAAAAGATAACAAGAAAGAGGAAGTCAAATTTAATTCAATTATGTCGCTTCTTATTGGTAGTAGAGCTCTTTCTTCTGCAACTCAGCAAATACTGTATTTGCTGAAACACACAATAGTTCAGAGTCAATAAACTATTACGTATTCTCAAATTGTATTTTTTTACTTTGAAATGTATAATAAGACAGAAAGTTAACATGAAATGACATATAAGCTCAGGACTGAATATGTTGATGTATTTTATATTCACATAGGTCTACATTGATGGAATAGGTTTAGAAAATCATATTACTGAGACAAAAAAAAAACATTATTAGCACCAAAATATACAACAGTTTTAAGAATTTGAAAAAACAGAAGTATTTTTCTCCAGATTACTCCATGTATTTAAATTTCAACAAAAACATTTGATACAAAGATAAGAAAGATGTTGTGTTAATACATTGCACTAAGCCATAGTTTCCTTAATTATAGTTTATTGACCAAGCTCAACAACAGACTAAAGAACAATCAGGAGTCAAAGCACATAGTAAGGGCTGAATCTGAACATAGTAAGGCCAAAAGCAAACAAACTGTCAAATGGCTTAGTGTTCATATACAAACTAGGTCATAAAGAGATGTCTTTAAAAGATATGTATGATTCTTATATATTTTATTCATCCAAATGTCCAAATTCATCCAAATCAATTGGGGGTTGACTCCAATGATTAAGGTCCTAGCCAAGGACCCAAGGGTCATGGAGGTATCATCATAACATGTCTCCTGTTCCAAGTAGGGTATTCTTTTGCAAAATTAGTGGTGCCAAAGCCAATAAGTTTAAAAGTTCTAAATATTTTGTGAATCTTTTGCTACTGCACCAAGAGCTCTTATTTACAGTCAGTATGACAAACTACTTTTACTTCCATAATCTTTCATCCTCAGTTTGTAAATCACAATATTATTATTTTCTCTAGTTTTTTTTTTTAAATCAATTAGGCTGTCTCCAGGTATCATCACATCAGTGAACCACATCTTTTTTTCTATAAAATAATATCTGGTATATTATGTTGTAAGTGCCTATTTGAATTTTCATTTCATTTTGCAATTTTTGGGGGAGGGGCATGTAGTTCCAGTGGGTTTTGCACATAGCAAAGCCAAATTTTCTACATTAATTCCAATGGACAATTTTTGCAACCCTATCATGGCATTGTTTATACTCTGTTTAAATGATTTTGCTACAGCCACTAATGACATGATCTACAGTTTCATCTTTAATTTTATATAATTCCTTTCTCATCTTTCTACTTTTTTTCTGTGTTCATTTTATCCCAAGATCCACTCTTGACAGTATCAAGTTTTTGTTTGTCCTGCATTCAGTACTCCTTGTAACCCTTATACCCTTTACTAATTCTCTCATTCTTCCAACATAAAATATCAAATCAGTTATATTGAAACCTTGTATTTGAAACATACTCACCAGTCCCCATTCTCATTCATTCTTAGGTCTCTGAATGGGCCAATTATCTGTCTCATTTCCACTCTCTGACCTTGTATCCTATCAGAATATTTCCTCCCCCAGATCACATTCATTCAGAATGTTGCAAAATGTTTTCCAGAACTCGTATATGGTTCATCCAGTTTCATCATCCACTGGGGCATATCTTGCAACTACTGTCTATGGATTCCTATTTTCATATGTATCCACAACAATCTGGATGACAACAACTCATACTCTCTTGCATACATTTTAGCCCTTTCCTTCATAACTGAATCTACCACTTCACGTCTTGCTTATATTCAGCAACTCCTCCTTACAAGATCAGACCATCTTCAATCAAAACTATTACATCCTTCCCTTTCTCTATTAATTTCACAGACACACAAGACAATCGTTTTTTTTCAGCCACTTCATTTGTTAATTCATGATCCTTATCATTAACTCCTCTTACATTTCAAGTTACAATCTTTTATGTGACACGATTATCACTAGATAGGCCTATAGAGATTGACCTTTGCCACCCATCATGGCTTTGTTCAATTAAGGCTTTTGCATAATGCTTTTTGTAAGAGAATGAAGGTATAGATTAGGTTACCAACTTAATTTAACTCATGTCATGAGCAGCATTCTCTACTAACAGCAAAGAGTTTTCTCCAAGCATGTTCATGCTGGGATCCCTATCTAGAGGCTACCTTCCAAGCCAATATACCATTGCCCACATCTCACCAACTAGAAGATATATGCGGTGTCCTGACACACATTCAGGATACAAATGATACCAAATGGTGCTCTTCCCATCCTCATGATGGTTTAGTGTTGGCTGATGAGAAAGAGAGCCACTAGTTCTTTGGATTTAGAAAAAAGGACTGCCCCATGTGAAGGCCTTAATGCATTTTCCTGTTCTCTCCACCAGCTCTTTATTTTTTAGCAGAAAATAAGGTTTATTATATATGGACTGAAAAATCCAGATAACCACTAGATGGCAGCAAAGAGATACAGGAAACTAACTCTTAACTGCCATCTAGTGATTGCCTGGATTTTTACAGTTGAAATAGGGTAGCCCTATTGAAGGAGTTTTTTTTCCTTTGTTGTGGATTTCAGTTGATTGCCAGTTGTCAGCCTCCAAGCTAAGGACTGGTTCATTACAATGTTTATGTTCGTTACAATGTTTATGTTTGTAGTTAGGTGGTGTCAGGTTCAGCCCAAAGAACTCCACGAGACAGTACAGATACAGTTCTGTTGCATTTAT